GGTATTCGGCCAATCACAACGCACTGGATAGGTGACCAATCAGAGCACACCTCGCTTTTCAGACCGATGAGCTTTGTAAAAATCGACGCGTTTCAGAAAGGCGGGTCATAGAGGAGAAACAATAATGTACAGTATGTGGAAAATAATGTGTTTTTTTAACCTTAAACCGCATAAACACATTTCATTACACCAAATACACAAAATAATGTTCTTTTTAGCAACATCATATGACCCCTTTAAAGATTAAGCACACATAGCCTTACACAAACTGTTAAGCAAGTACACTTTTATCCCATAATCAAGGCCACATACAGAGCTTTTAAGGACAATAGAAGCATTATTACTTCAAAGCAATATTTTATTTAATATTTATAGTTATAGATAGTTAATATCTCTAAACATACCTGTACTACATTTGACATCTTTTCATGACAACCACGATAGTTTGTAAACACTGTCCTTTTTATTGAGAGCCGTCAACGTATCCTGGACAATGCCGGCGTTTTCTCACCATGAAAAAATGGCATGAAGAGTCGAGTAGACAGACAGCAGAATGAAATAATAAATAAGTGGCAGGACCTTTTGTCGCTTCTCTCCAAAAAGACACATTATCTGTCTGGGTTTGTGTGGATCTGTGAAAAGCTAAGAGGCTTTCCTCCAGCTCTCCCACCCTGGCAGCACAAAGGAAAGACGCTTGCAGAGAATTACAGCAAACGCCGGGGGGATATTTTCACTGTGACATGCCACTGACCTCATGGCATCTGATCAGAGCCTGATCCTTCCCCTTTAAGATGCCTCAGAGCATTGTGGGTAACCTGAGGGGCCAGAGTTTGCTGTGGCAGCGGCGCAGTAGGGCTCGCAGAGAACATAAAATAGCAGGTAAATCCATGTATTCCCTTGTGAAATGGATGCCGGTACAAGGAGCGAAAAATAAAACCCCATTTGATTAGGGAGGCTGAACTACCTCATTGTAAGAGGGATTATCTCAGCATGAATTTATTATCTATGATGAAATTTACAATAATAACAGTCAATTTGAGAACAAACCAGCATATGGGATTAAGAGCTTTTAACACAAACACAGTAACACTTGAGTGTTAGTAATGGTCTGCGTACCTTGGTTAATACGGGGATAAGAGAGAACATTCTTGTTTAACACAGTGTTCCAGCCCTGAATACATTTACATAGAGCAGACCAAAATGCAGGTGCTGCCACTGACATGTAAATGTATAAGGCGAAGAGTTTGAACCAATTTTTATAACAACTACAATATAAAATGAAGCCACATTTTAAATCTGCATAAACAAATGCAATGCTAACAACAAACGGTTGACAAATTTCAGCTAATGCCATTGATTTTTGGCATTTAAATATTTAGAATCAGAACAAAAATTTAGTTTTCCTTTTTCTCTTGACATTTACCATTTAGTGCTTATTGTAGTAAGTAATATTCAAATGATGTCTTTAGTGACAGATTTTCAAAAGCATTGTTTGAGGGACTGATTCAAGAACATGAGGTTTTTATAAAAGATGACCACTGGAGACTCTCCGTATTAAAGCTCTGCCAGCAACAAATCTGCCTAGAAACAATAGACCATGATAAACAAGGTGCTTATATGTTTGTCACAATGAGTAGTGTATTTACTGCTTTTGTTGCAGTTTTGCTCACGTAAGCAGTTCGGATGCAGTCCATATGTGCCTTTACGCTGTGCTCCCATATACATATATATATACATATATACATTAGAATTATATAATTTGTATGTGATTATTACATATTTAAACATAAATCAATATATATGTTTATGTAATATGTGATTATTTAATATTTAAATATAAATCAACATGTATGATTAGAATGTGTGTGTGTAATATCTTTATAATTATTTAATTACATATCTATACACAAAATATTTATAATACACTGAAAAAAAATGATACTACATTTTTTGGTAAGTGGCTGCAAACAATTTATTTTAGCTACATTTAATAAAAAAAATATGTTGAAAGTTAGTCAACTAAATTTGTTTATTTAAATGTAGCTAAAATAAATTGATTGCAACCACTTACCTTATAAAAAATTAGTAAATTCAATGAATCATTTTTTTTTCAGTGTATGTACTACTACTATTTTCAAAAATGTATGGTTTCGCTTAATTTTGATGGTCCCTTTAACACATTCTGTTGACTGTAAGTAACGTTGCACCAACATATCTACTAACTCTCATTAGAGTGTTAGTCGATTATTAGTAGACTGCTACAGTTAGGATTAGAATAAGTTGACATGTACCTGCAAAGCTGCTAATAGTCAGTAGAATGCCTGTTGGCAGACCCTCAAAATAAAGAGTTAGCAGATATTAAGCTCTAATGAGATTTGTTTGACATGTAGGTGCAATGTCACTTATTGTCAACAGAATGTTCAAAAAGGACCATCAAAATGAAGTTACCAAATATATATATAGTAGCTGATATCCCAGCATCCTCTCTGACAGAGCGACTCAAAGTGTTTCCTCTATTTTTCCTTATCTACCGATGCACAATGGCTTGGATTAGTCTCAGGGTTGACTTTCTCCAATGTCTATCAGCCATCAGCTTCAGGTTTTTCCAATCAATCGTACGAGCCCCGCATGTCAGAACATGATGTAACATGCTCAGTGAAGCCAAACACAGCTCAGGTGGCAGGCAGGAGATGTTTCTTGTGAGGTGGGGCATGGAAATATTAAGTGTCAGTATGAAATGATAACATAGATTCTGTGGATAATCATCGCCTCAGCGTAATGTATTACAAACATGTGCGTTCTTGTCTCGTTGTATCATTTTATGACCCCTTGTGTTTGCGAACATGAGAGAGCCCAAGGCCGATGAGAACAGAGAATGTGATTTGGAGTTGCTGTGAATGCGCATTTGCTTTATTGCGCTTAAATAAATAACCTTTGGCCCAGTGGCATAATTCATCTTAATTTTCTGACGTAAATAAGGAGCGAGATGGTGGTGGGAGAGAAATTCATTTGTGTTTTGCCTTTGAGCAAACGCCTGTGCATTTTTCATCTGATCTCTTATTGAAGTCTAATTATGTGTGTCTGCGCCAAAGTGTGTATGTGTGTCCATGAAGTCACATCTGCTTGTCTTTTTCTGTTTGCTAGTGTCACACTAGCAAACAACACACTGTTTAAAAATTAACATCGGGCAAAAAAGAATGTTTGAAGAATTTCTTACTCTGTCATGAAGTCCAATATAGAGTCTTGAGCTGACACAGGGAATAAATGACATATCTAAATAAACCTGCACGCTCTTTTTGTCAGCTTGTCATAGACTTCATAACACAGCAGAAGCATGTTTCAGATCTCTGTAATATAAAATAGTGTTGCATTGCTCACTGCAAAGAAATACGCAAACTAAGTATATAACCCACTGTCCTCTGTTTATAATGGAACATGAATATCTTCAGATCGCTGCAAACATGAGTAAATTAATTTGTTTAGTTTATAATAGATTGAGTCTAAGGAGATGAGGACGACAATAAGCAATGAGAATTCAGGAAGCTTTGAAGTTAAATGTCAAGATATTCAAGAAAAAATAAAAGTTTTTATCGATTGGAAATAATTGAAACACTTAAAACGATTGTTACATACCATAACGGAGCCGGACTGAATGTGAGTTTGTAAATGAAATTAAAACACTACACAAGTCTGCACAGCCAAAGAGGCTCACTGAATAATAATACCAAGAATGTGCATTAAGAAAAAAAGCAAACATGTATTTAGCTAGAGACAAAAAAAGCAGGAAAATCTGACTTATTCACTTATATCACTTATTATTATAAAAAAAGAAGAAAACAAAATAAGAAAACATTTTAACTATTTAAAAGATATATCATATATTGTAGTAATACATACTATTGTCCTGTAAAAATAAAAAAGCAGCATTTAATAATAAAATAATATAATATATAATAAATATAATATAATATAATATAATATAATATAATATAATTGTTATTATTAAAGTACCTGCCAAAAGTTTGGAAACATTACAATTATTTGATTTTGAAATAAATCTCTTCTGCTTATCAAGGCTGCATTTTTTGATCAAAATAAAGTAAAAAACAGCAATATTGTGAAATATTATTACAAAAAAATATTTTAATATATTATAAAATGTAATTTATTCCTGTGATGCAAAGCAGAATTTTCTGCATGATTACTCCAGTTTTCAGTGTCACATGGTCTTTCAGAAATCCTTACAATTTGATTTGATGCTCAAGAAACAAAAATGATTTGTTATCAATGTTGAAAACAGATGTGCTGCTTCATATTTTGTGTGGAAATGGTGATACATTTTATTTTTCAGGATTTTTATCTTTGATAAATAGAAAGTTCAATGAACAGCATTTATTTGCATATATCATATATATATATTTATTAAATTTGTTGAAGCATTCATTAAATAGCAATCTTTTGAAACATTTTAAGTGTCTTCGCGCTTCACTCACTTTTCATCACTATAATTTATGATGAATAAAATTGTTAGTTTCTCTCTCATTTTCTAAAATCTTACCATAAATGTTTGAGTCGTATCATTGTTTCCACAAAAATGTTAAGCAGCTAAAACTTTTATTATTATTATTATTATTATTGTTATTATTATTTCATTTTTAATACTGATCTGCATGATTCAGGTGGGTCATGATTTTAGACCGAGAAAAAAAAAATCTGGATTATTCTGGAAGAATCACATCCATGAAAGTGTGTCTATTTTAGTTATTTTAAAGGATGAATTTGTCTTAATTTAATATTCATCTCCAACCATGAGAAATATTGTTTTGAAAAAGTGTTCAATCCCCCCTCCTACTAAATATAGTCATCTTGTATCTTCTTTTTCAGGCCGGATAGAAGCAGCTATCAAAAAAGTATTAAGACAGTACAGCATATATATTCCACCTCAAGTCCCCACAGGCCGTATCAGCCTTAGTTCACACAGACATAATGGGGTAACTTACCACATAAAAACAGAACAGTTTGTCATGGTCAGCCTAGAGGCAGGAGAAGAGGCAATGTCCATGACCTACAAGGGAAACACAAAAAAAAAGGATTAAGAACAACACCCTGTGTTGAACTATATCTGAATTCACTTCATTAACACTAGAAGGTCAAAAAATACATTGTTAACAACTTGTCATTTGACTGGGATGAAGCCAAAGATTGTGTGTAAAGCTTGGTGAGCTGTGCTTCACTCATTATATGAGATGTGAAATGTTCTCAGTATAGAAAAAAAAGTTCCATGTGTTTACTTGGAATCGATAAAACTAAACAATGGAATTGCATCTTACAGCCACTACACTCCAAACAGTTAGTCAAAGGTAAACTAACTTTAAGATGAAAAAAAAAAAAAAAAAATAATAATAATAATAATAAAAAAATCAGTAAATGTTTTTGGAATAAACTAGTAAAATCTTTAATAAAGTCATGAAACCATTTTTAATTTTTTTGTCAAATGTCCTATAATGATCCAAAATGAATAAAATGTACTCAAGCAGCACACTGTTGCTATGGTTACCTTCTCAAGTGAACGATTTTCTGTTCATGAGCGTCTATTTACCATTGGTAAAAAACATCTTATAGAAGAAATCATACAATAGTTGGTAAGAAACAAGCTGCCATGTTCCGTTCAGAAAAAAAAAAAAAAAAATCTATTCAAATATTCATAATGTCAACAGCAACTGCAGCTCATAAACTTTAAGTGTATATTTAAGTATTTGTAAAGCCTCAGTAATAATGCCTCAATTTAAGTCAGCCACCACAACCCATTTCACATTAAAATAACCGCCAAATGTTATCTCCACACTGCTGCTTATGCCCTAGTTTTACATTATCAACATTGCTATGTCAGGTACATATTCTTCAGGCATTTATCAGAAATGAAATCCGCATCTCTCATTAAAGTTGAACCGTTTTAAGCATCTGACAGATCTCCTTTTGAGCTACTTTCCCATGATAGCAGATGGCAACCTTGTTCTTTATATGCATTTCTTAGACATAAGATTGTCTCTTTGGTTATATTTGAAATATACCAATAAAGTGAGCTGTAGGTAAGACTGAAAAAAGAAGGAAGACTATTCTCTCTATAAAAAGCATATATTATGATGGCAGAGCTACTTAAATAGACTGAAGTGATGCCTTGTGACGCCTCACATTTCATTCAGGAGGAATCTATTTGACACTGAGAACAGTTTTTAACTTTGTGTCTTTCGAAGACTGAGGCTGGCAGTGAGTGACTGCAATATAAGAATGATTTGGGTATTAGAACACATGGAATTGGTGAGTAGGCTCCTCTGTGTGTTAAAAAGGGAGAGGGCAAAGCAAGTTGAAGGACAGCGAGAGATGGAAAGACAGATGTTTTCGAGCTTATGATGAGCGATGAGACTAGGTTGGAGACTGAGTTGCGCAATATTCTGGTACAAAAAAGATACTGCAGCACTACAGATTTGAAACAGCTGTGCAACTGATAAAAGAAACTACACTTTATATAAAGAATGTTTAAGCATAATTGAGTCTTTTTGCAGGTTACATTGATACATCAAGTGGCAATAAGTGTCTTGATATGGGAGTCATTTATTCAAGTGAACTTTTCAAAAACATTGATTCATTCACTGACTTTCACAAGACTCACTCTCTTTATGAGTGAGTCATTGAATCAGTCACTGAAGCAATTCGTTCAAACACACTGATTCATTCTCTGGTTTCTTTCCTAAATCTAAATCTGTATTTAAATACAAGTTATTTAATATTAACTTTTAGTTTATCCTTTACATGAACATAAATATAGAACATTTGTCTTGTTCAATTACGATAATATTCATCTATATCTGGTGAATATATTTGGAAACACAACTTCACAGTATGCTTCATGATGGTATTTTGTTCAGTTTTATACCCCTACTAAATAGATAAAGTTAGTAATTATATGACCCTGCATCCCACATATATTCAGTAGTTTATTTACAGTACCATCTGTTCAGAATCACGATATCAATTGCAAAGTATTATAGTAGTTACTGTACTGAAGCCGAAAACTCTGGTATTGGGCCAACCCTAAATTAATGAACTGTATCTGTGTTTGCATGTGTATTTAGCTTTTCTGTTTTCAGTTAACAGGAGTGAAAATTTGTCATTATGTAACATTAGTTGCCATGTCCTCCTCTCGTTTCCATAAGCTGCACAGAGTTGCAAGTCATTAATGGCTTCATTCCATCAGTCTTGATTTCTCTCCTTCACCTCCTCATCTGGCCTTTCCTTATGTTCTTTCTCTTTTCCTCCTACACACACATACAGAGTCCACAAGAAACCACTACATCTTAGTTAAGTGGCACCAAAATAGGTTAGTTGTGCTCAAGGAAATAAAATCGAACTCACCCTCTCTCTATACTTTGATACAACCTTGTTAGAAACTCAAATTATCACTTGCATACCTGAACTGTGTGTATGTGTTAGGGGTCTTTGACTATTCATCACACTGTTGGACTTGCTAGAAACAGCAAAAATGAGTTGCTGTGCAAGTCCTAGTATTTTTTTTTCAAGTATTCATCCATATTTGTCTGTTAGGTATGTTGCATGTGTACATAGGGTCATGCCCTTAAACCAGGCTTTTTCAAAAGCATATAAATGAACTGGGGAATTTCTCCAGTGAGCTTGAAGCCCATATTGTAGATGAAGCTTTAAAGTTTATATGTGCTTTTGCTTCTCTGCACTAGTCCCTCACTTGACACTCTACCAGGACATACACCATGTAGCCTAACTGAACTTGACTGGACTGGACTGGACTGAACTCTTTTGCTTTGCTCTTCAATTACACTCTCTCAGCTCCTTGTTGCTTCTATCTACATACCAAGATACTTTTATATATATTCAGCCTATTAAATAGTTACAAAACATTTTACTTGTTTCAAATAAATCCAGTTTTTGGAACTTTCTATTTATCAAAAAATCCTAAATAATAATAATAAAGCATAAGAGTTTCCACAAAATATTAAGCAGCACAAGATAAATGTTTTCTGTGCACCAAATTAGCATATTATAATTATTTCTGAAGGATCATGTGATACTGAAATTCAGCTTTATCATCACAGGAATAAATTACATTTTAAAATACATTTAAAAAGCAAACTTTCTATGGTTTGTTAATTTTTTTTTAGTTTGTAAAAATAAAGTAGGTTACTATCTGTGTGTAATTTGGAAATTTCCCCTTACCAAACTATTAAAGCCTTACAAAGCCTAGAGGAAACTTGAAGCTAGAATTTGCCTCTTATTGCCAGAGATAGTCATGTTTCACAGTCTCGCTCTGAAGCTAGACTTCACGTCTCCAAAACAGAATTATGTATCCCCGGGGTCCAAAAATAAACCTGATGCTCTGTTTGGCTTTTGTCACCCTGCTCACATCCCTTTCGTTGCTAATCAGAAAAAGTCAATACTCTATCAAGCTTTGCCTGAGAAATCTGAGATGGACACAGTGGCAGAGCTCCTGCACGCTCCTCACCTCCGGTCTCAGGAGCTATAAAGCAGAATGATTTATGATATTTATTCTCATAAAAGTCCCACACGCTGTCTAAAAGCCTCGGATCAGCTCGCTAGAAAACGCAGCTGACGTTGAAGCAGCAGTAAGTAAACATGAGGCACCACGAGGCGACAGCTAGCATTAGCATTAAGCTCTACCAACCGCCATCGATCAGTTCCGGAGACGCAAATCAGGATGCAAATTTCCAGTTAAACCTCAGGAGCAGTCGACATCAAAGCAGCACTCAAATGCACCATGCGTGCCAGACTGCTGATGAAGATAATGGGTGAATGAACGCCATTGGCTTAGGCTGGAAAACAACAGGAGCCATCAACTCGGCATTAATACCGATCAACTTCTGCTTGCATTCTTTTCCCACTTGTGGTTAAATGAGCACATGAACCTGCTGTGGTTTCAAATACAGAACACTGCCAATAGGAGAACACTGTCAAAATAGGAGCTCTGGCAGAACAACATTTTAATACATCACACTCATCTCCAGTGACATTTGTGCAAGTCTCAGACGTGATGTAGATTACTGTACCGTTCGCAGCTAAAAGACTCTTATAAGTGATAATGGAGAGGACAGTTAGTTTACAGACACATTAGCACTCTGGAAACAATTCTCAAATCAGCAAATGCATCCACAAAAGCTAACAATTGAAAACAGAAAGGTTTCTTGTCTGCTGAGACCCGTAAAACATCAATTTTAAATACACAGCTGTGAAAGCGCTAAACAGTTATTATAGTGCAAAAACCTGCATCCAATTCAGTTCTCAACATTTTCTAAGGCTTCTGAAACTAGGAGTATTAAGAGTCAAATAATTAATTGCAATTCATTTTGTGATTCCTGACATCTCTTGATATATATATATATATATATATATATATATATATTCATTTTGTGATCTCTTGATATATATATATATATATATATATATATATATATACAGTGGGTACGGAAAGTACGGAAAGTATCTTACATTTTTCACTCTTTGTTATATTGCAGCCATTTGCTAAAATCATTGAAGTTAATTTTTTTTCCTCATTAATGTACACACAGCACCCCATATTGACAGAAAAACACAGAATTGTTGACATTTTTGCAGATTTATTAAAAAAGAAAAACTGAAATATCACATGGTCCTAAGTA